CTGATTGGACGTTTGATTTTCAATATCCTGCAATCAGGCGTTATTTTCCCTTGTTTTAACCGGCGAAGGTACAAGAAGAAAGCGTAGAGGGAAACTGAAGATCGCAAGTTACATGATGTGCATAAATATAAATTGATATGAGATGAAATGTGGTTATAGTTCAATAAACGTGACGATTTTGAAAGGGTTAACAATTAACCATTGTTCCACAATATATCAGAACCTGTTTTAAGTGAACACTCTGCAAGTGGGGGTCATCGCTACCATAGTCCAAATTGCGTGACGGGAACACAAATAGGGGGAATGGCGGCTCTCTCGCTGCTTACGTTGTTACTAGTCGTTAACTCAGCTTGGTCCGCCCGGATTGCTGGCTTCCTTACCATTGGAGGGTCACAGTACATGAACATGAGGCTTACAATGGAAGAACTGGCTTCTCGCGGCCATGAGGTACAGAAACATCATTTTAATATGCATGCCTTTTTATGCTCGAAGGAAAGGTAATGTGGAGTGTATCAAGGAACCCATTTTACTGATGTGGGTTAAGTCCTTGTCTTAGGTATCATACTAGGTATGAAGCATAATTATGTATTTAATGGAGTTTCATTGTCTTCCTAGCAGTTTTATGACTTTCATGTTGCGCTGCTCAATAGTCGGAAAAAAACAGACTTTGACCCATCTGTGAATGGTGTTAATATTCGACCTAAAACGGGATTTATTGCATCCTTTGAAACACAAACGAACACGGGGATATCGACAACGGATATTACTATTTTGGGCTGTTACTCGTTTGTAGATAGGTTGTACAGATCGTTAATTTGTTGAGATTTTTTGGCCGTGTTAATGGTCATGTCAATGGTCACGAACCGTTTGATCCTCTGTATTGAGGACAAAGCAGTAAGGCTGAAAACCACCTAAATGGCCATAAATCGGCCAAGAAACCTCACCGGAACCAAGGTAACACACACTTGAAGCGAGGTAGGCTTATTTTTTATTCATTTACCTTCGCATTGTTTAGGCTCAAGAATATAAATGTTTTTCCCATACAAAACCTTATACTGTATCAGTCGACTGTTGCATCACCTGAGAACCAGTGTATGTGCAAGGGAAGCTCATTTGCGAGCCTGTGCCACCTGTGTCTACAGTAACTGAGGAATTCGCGTTTATTGATGTCAAAAATAAATGAAATAACTCCTAAATATGCCAGAATAATTTCAGCTTTCACATCGAGCTTTACCGAGAATTTAAAAGAAGGGATGAAATCCAGAGAGAGAATTATAAGATCATGCTGCTAGCGATCAGTACATACAGTTATTGCCCGTACGGACAAAACGACCGAGGGCCGATATTCTTTCGGTATCTCCGAGCAAGCTTGGTTAGTAAAAGATTTATTACACGACTGTAGATGTTTTAACTGAAAAAAGAAACTCCGCACACGATGAATCACAGACTGAAAAGACATCGTCGCCATCAGCTTGGCTGTCGCGTAACACAAATGTTATGAATAAAAATTCCATTAAATAAAGTCACGCATTCATTTTCGCCTTAAAACGCCTTTACCTGGTTAGCCCTCACATTGTGTTAGCCTTCTGCGCAGTCGCTCTTTGGACTCGTCACGCAATCTTCCTCTGCATAGGAGGTTAACCTTTGTTTAATACTAGTTTACCTAACAGGTAGTGGAGGCTGCCTGTAAGTTAGCATGTTTAGAGAAAACATAGTGCCTTATATTGCAGAACAGAACAATTTTGTGGTACATGGTACACATAACCCGGCCTTGTTCTAAAATAACTGTTATAAATATATCCTTTTAGTAGTTACTATTAACTAAGAAGTCTTTATCTATAGAAACAACACATGTTCTTTTATCTTGACAATGACCAACGGTATTAAATGTCGCATCCAGTCCTTGCGTTCACGTCACGTTACATATATTTGTATGAAATCTACTTTTGGACTACGTGTTCAAATACAAGTTATTCAAGGCAAAGAAAAAGCGCATTAACAGGAATACCTCTTGTTCTGAAGAAATACGAAAGATACCCAAGACTTGACAAAAGTGAATAAAAATGCTGTCATCGGCACACAAAGTGATCATAATTTAGAATAAAGAAGTAGTTAAACAAAACTAAACGAGGGATTGCGCAAAAGCAAACGAAGAGAAAAAAGCAAACAAGCACACTAAGAGAAGTAAAACATACTTACACCAAGAAAACTAAGATGAATTAAGTTTAGAGGTGAACACAACAATACTAAAGGCATTTTGAATCCCAGCGCTGAGAGAGCTAACTAATTTGGGGTTTTGAAAACTGAGTGAGAATTTCTCTACGTTTGTCTCACTGTTGGGCAAACGGAAGGAATTCTTAGTTCTAGTATTGTATTTATGCATGTCCATCAGGTTGTACTGGTTGTGCCGTCAACCCAGAAAGTCAAACCCAGTGAGAGAGTGCCACACAAGATTTACCAAGTGCCTTGTACACCTGACTTCTTGGATGAAATGATACGACTTGAACTTGAGGGGAACAAAGTACAATTGATGCTGAAAGCAAGTGAGGTGATGCCTACCATGTGTGAAGGTCTATTAAACAGCACAGAAGTTTTTGAAGAACTGCAAGACTTTGACCTTTTAGTTCACGACACTGCTGCATTCGGCGCTGTATCACTTGGTGAACACCTTGGTATTCCAAGAGTGGAGATTATGCCT